AATCAAATTTATTGAAAACATGTGACTATTGGTTGCAACTAATCGACAGAAAAAATTTTAATCAAACTCCTTTCATTTAATATTTAAAAAACATATATTAAGTGAAGATGCCTTCTGATAGTTAATATTATAATAGGGGCATGCCCAAAAAATTTTCCGTGCCCCTCACCCTAGATATGTGTAGACTCGTTTCTGTGTTTGCTTACTTGATCTAAAAACTTTTAATTCAATTTATCTTTTTTGAGAAATATTTTTGACAGGCCCTATGGGCCGATCAAAATAAACAAAGACATGATAAAAGAACGCCCGGTCAAAAATTTACAGGAAAAAGTTATAACAATTCTTAACGAAACGCAAAGGGTCGCATTTTATTTATAAAGCAAATTGATCAATATAAGCAACTCGTAATACATAATATTCCGGGCATATTATTAAAAAAACTATTGCTCAATTAAATCAGTATGATATTCTAGAGGTACACTCATTGAATGGTGTTTTTGATTTTCTAAATTAAGAACTTCATGGCCATGATACTGCAATACATAGTTCGTATTCCAAGTTATCATAAAAACTTTCAGCACCGTTCCATGTTCCACGTGGTACATTGGAATTATTAATTGTATCTCTGAAAATTATTCCAGTAGGAACTTGGATGAGATTTTCTTTGCTGTCTACAAATATATTCTTGCAATGTTTTGGTCGATTCTTTCGATTCTTGCTGAGATGTTATCATTAATAATGGTAATTAGATAAATAAAATTATCACCTAAAAATAATATTACAATATATATATATATTTTTATATACTAAATAAAGATTAAAAAGCGAATTTACATATAAAAATTTTAGATGTGTAAAGTTACATATTAAAAAATTTTGTGAGTAATAATAATTTTCAAATGCTAAGCGGAATATTATAAAATTAATAGTATTAAAAAACTTTTGCAAGCCAAATTGACATATAATCTGCCTTTGGAAAAAAACCAACTATAATATTACATACTGTATAGTGATCGAATTTCAATGCAAACCTTGATGCTAATAATTTTAGGCTTAGTAATTATTGTAATAAGTTGATTTTTTTTTTTTTTTTTTTTTTTTTTGCAAACTAATAATCTAATTTTAATAATCGATTTACAGGAATTTTTTTTTTTTTTTTGTAAAAAAAAAATTTTTTTAGCTATAAAGCATAGGGAAAACCATTTTTGTGCTGTCATGTAACGCTAATTCTAGAGTTATATGTGCCATCATTATTATTGACCACTTTCACTTTCGCCTATAATATCTAACCACAATGCAACCAATGCATCAAATGTTCCAATAAAAAATCCA